CACACATGCACACATGCCCACACGCACACATGCACACATGCCCACACACACACATGCACACACGCACACATGCACACATGCCCACACACACACACCCACATGCTCACATGTACACACACACACATGCACACGCCCATGAAGCCAGAGGACAACTGTGGGAGCGGGCTCTCCCCTACTATCTGGATCTAGAGATAGAAATCACACTCAGGTCACATCTTTAGGCTTGGTGACAAGTGCCCTTAGGTTCTTTTACACTCCATTTTTGTTTTTAAAAACAAAGTCTTGGGCTGGAGAGATGGCTCAGCGGTTAAGAGCACTGGCTGCTCTTTCAGAGGTCCTGAGTTCAATTCCCAGCACCCACATGGTGGCTCACAACCATCTGTAATGAGATCCGGTGCCCTCTTCTGGTGTGTCTGAAGACAGCTACAGTGTGCTCACATACATAAAATAAATCTTTAAAAAAAAAACAAAAAAACAAAAAAACAAAGTCTCAATCTACCTCAGTCTGACTTCAAAACGTGTTGGTGATCCTCCTGTCTCAGCCTCTTAAGTGCTAACATTACGGGCATGAGTCACCATATCAGACCAATTTTAGAATATTTTAAAATTATTACTATCAAGGTATTGTTTGTGTGTATGCGTGCGTGCGTGCGTGTTTGTGTGTGTGTGTGATGTGTGCATGTGAGCAGGCTTGCCACAGCATGTGTGCAGAGGTCACAAGACAACTTCATGGCATGGTTTGCATTTCCATATTTACGTGGGTTTCAGGGTCTGAACCCGTCGTCAGGTTTGCATGGCAAGTGCCTCTACCCACTGAGCCATCTCACCAGCCTGAGGATTTTTTTTAAGGTTTACCTATTTTGAGTCTGAGTATTTTGTCTGTCTGTCTGTCTGTCTGTCTGTCTGTGTGCTGTGTATGTGCAGTACCCTTGGAGGCCCAGAGAGGGCATCAGAACCTCTCCAACTCCAGTTACAGACTATAGTGATCTACCATAGGGATGCTGGGAACTGAAACCAGGTCCTCCACAAAAGGACTCAGTGCTCCTAGCCACTGTCTCTCCAGTGACCCTTTGAGACAGGATCCCATAGAGCCAAGATTGGCTCAAACTCCCTATGTAGCCAAGGATAGCCCTGAACTCCTGATCCTCCTGCTTTCCCTTTCAAGTGTTTGGATTAAAACATGTACTACTGTATCTGGCCAAGAAATGAGTTTTTAAATCTAACCTGCAGTTTCTAGGTTTGAATGGGCTACACTCAGCATCGCCCTTGTTGGCAGAAGCACTAGGCAGGCACTGTACACTGCTACCACCCGACACACTCTCTGTTGTTTGTTTTCTTTGTGATACTATTTCCCTCTGCAGCTCAAAGCAATCTTCCTGTCTTAGCCTCTCGAGAGTCAGAATCACAGGTGTGAGCCACATTGCTCTGAAAAAAAAATCTTAAAATGTATGTAATTTTTATTCTGCAGGAGATTTAATCAATTGTCTTGTTCAGGCTAGGCAAGTACTATATTACTGAGCTACAAGCCTAGCCTAATTTTTGTTTTTCATTTTTAGCTAAGTTAATTACACTTATTTATTTATTTCATGTTAGGGAGCTCAGAGGACGATTGCCAGGCACCAGTTCTCCCTCCAGCACGAGGGCCAAGGCTTGGAGGCCTTTACCCAATGCAGCGCCCTCACTGGCCGACTTATTCTTATTCTACAGGGTATCTTATGTGGTCCAGGCTAGCCTCAAATGATTCTCCTTCCTGGGCTTCTTAAGGACCTGGGACTGAAGCCAGCTTCTGTCATCAAACCCACAAGACAACCACAAGTAGAAACTCTTAATCACTTTCTTACAGATAAGAAAACCAAAGTACAAGGTTGAATAAAACAACTTGCCAAAGGTCACAAACCCCACCCAGTAAGTATAGCAGGAACTCAAGCTCAACCAATCTCATCCAAATCTGTGCTCTTTTTCCTGTGTGTGTACTGTGTGTATGTGTACTGTGTGTGTGTGTGGGGGGAAGATGTGTGTGGAAAGCCAGGGATCAATGTCAGGTGGCTTCCTCAATTACTATTCGCCTTATTTTTTGAGACAGGGTCTCTCACTGACAAGAGGTCCAGGCATCCTCTATGTCCCAGGGCTAAGACATAGGCATATGCTGCCTCGCTGGGCACTGACTGGCTGAGCCATCCCTCTATTCCCCTCCACTCCCTAACGGCATATTCTTACTTCTCTACAGAATTACTTGTAGATGGCAACTACCTGGTAGGTCACAATTATATTCAAGTTCATAAACAGACTTCTGGAAGTAGCAGGCTTATAAAGATGTTTGATAAGAAAACAAGAGAAAGAGAAAGAAATGAGAGAGGGGGAGGGGGAGAAGGAGATGGAGAAAGAGGAAGAAGAGAAGGAAGAGGAGGAGAAAAAACTCATAGGGCAATGGGTTTAATCCCAGCACTCAGGAGAGAAGCAGGTGGATCTCTATGAGTTCAAGGCTACACAGAGAAACCTTGTCTCAAAAAACAAAACACAACAACAAAAGCTATTTGACAGGCAGGAGACAAGGCTCAGTGGTTAAGAACTGTGTACTGCTCTTTCAGAGAATCAAAGTTGAGTTCTCAGAACCCACATTGGGCAGCTAAGAACCATCTCCAGGGCCAGCTCCAAGGCGCCTGATGCCTTTGGCCTCTGAGGGCACCTGCACAGTGTGCACACTGTACTTAAGCACACACGCACACACATCACTTAAAATAATACAAATAAAAAAGAAAGAAAGAAAAGAAAATGCTGGCAGTGTAGACACAGAAGCAGTGCTGGCACTGACCCCAACAGGATCTCAACAGGGCCCCAGATGTTAAGGGCAAAAGATTCAAGGTAGAAGCCAATGAAAAGTCGTTGGAGGTGATTTAAATACCCACCCAGTGGTTAAATATTTATTTATAATGATAATTGTCCCAGGTAGCAACTGTTGACAAGTGAGTGTGGCTCTAATACCAAGTGACCAGGTTTTAAAGAGCAGGCTAATACAAGAAGTGAATTCATGGGCTTGGAAGAAAACCACACACAGCAACTGGACCAGTGTGAAGAACTTTACCTCAGCCAGCCTTGTCCGCAGTTGACCTGGTTGTTTCTTCGCAAACAATCTGATGACTTCAGGAGTTTTAAAGGCCTGACTGATAGCTGCCTGAATGGCCTGGAAACACAGGAATGCACAAGCTGACCACGACACCCCACACAATTAGATCTTCAGCATTTGACCGATGGCTGTCATTTAATAGCTTTTGGTTCTTGACATCGGTTTTCATTTGCCATTTCTCAGTGTGTTATTGGAGCCAAGCAGACACAAAATCAAGAAGCTGTTGAGTAAACACACCACTCTTTTTTCTTTTTTTCATTTAATTTTTTGTTTTGAGGTGTTGGGGAAAGAACCTAGTGTCCATGCTAGGCAAGGACACTACCACAGAACTACACCCTCAGCCTTCAAAGTATGCATTTTCTACCAGAAATATACCCACAAAACAAAAAGAAACCAGGAACCCACTCACACACCCCACACAGATTTATACACACACTCGTGCACACACACACACACTTGTGCGTATGTACACACACTCATGCACACACATGCACAGCAGGGAATTCCTCTTACCAGTTGCATCCCACTGAGTTCATCTACCAACGTCATGTTTCCTGACATAATCTTCTTCAGCGAATCGTTGAACTCACTCAGCTGCTCCAAAGTTTCCTTTTTAGTTTCTTCATATTCGTCAGCATCAAGCTCCTCCCTAAGGCACAGCTCACATCAGAATTCGGAAATGACAGAGGTTCCTAAACTGACAATCTTAGCAGTTGTTCTAGGGCCAGGCTGGCGGGAACACAATCGCTAGTGGCGCTCATGTCCACAGAGTTACACTTCTGGCACTTCCGCTGCCTTTCAGTGAGGTTGAACTCAGGACGAGAGAGCACTATCTCTCCTCGCCCAGTCAACTTTTACCGATATGAGTCACACTTCAAGCACACGGTGACTTCTCTTACACATTAATGGTATAACATAGAGCAGTACACAGAGCCAAACCTCAACTTGTCTATTCAACGTCAGAGAACTATAGTACAGCGCCACTAAGATTTTTATAGAGATTACACAAACTAAAGTGCCTGGCATCTACTTATAGCGAAACAGTTGCCATTGGCATCAGCCTCTTCAACGGTAGGAAGCACCCTGTGTACCTGCAAGCAACAGCCACACATCTGTCAGCTGAGTAAAAGGTTACTTTATTCTCCAACCAAGTCGCTCATTAAATATTTACCACAAGTAACAACGGCTACACTCGGTGAACTACCATTCATGGAGCGCTTACTCGGGCCAAGCATGGTTTTGTCTCCTTCGTTTTCACATCTGTAATGTCCTTGCAAGGCTATTAAAAACTGCCATTATTAGTTTGCATGTTTTCTTCTGCTTTATTGACACAGGGTCTCACAGAGCAGGCTGGCCTGGAACTCGCCATGGAGTCAGGCAGGACCGTGAGCTCCAACCCACATGCATCCACCGCCCATGTGCTGGGATTACAGGAGTGCAGCACCTCCGTTTCCCTCCCTCTCGTTCGATGCAGGGGACTGGGGTCAGAGCCTCTAGCTGTTAGGTACCACTCATCCACAGAGCCACACCCCCCAGCGCAATCATAGTATTTTTAGCCATTAGCTGGGAGTTCATACTAGGTAAAGCTGTTTAAAATACTAAAGACAGAGTAAGCGTTATTATTTCCAGGAGCTTAAGTGTTTTAAGTCTTCCCCACCTGAGGCTTTATGACTACAAACCTTGACAAATTTGCTTCTACAAACAAAATGCTGTAAAATACTACAGAAGAGACCAAAGTCACACACGGGCTTGCTTCCATGGAGCCCAACCTCTCTTCTTACCAACAGGCGTTTACGGAGTAAGAAATAAATGAAGTAAGTTATAAATTACCTGCATTCCTCCAGATCTTGTAACTGCTGCATCAGTCTATCCAACTGTTCTTCTAAATTCTGCTTTAGTTTGCTTGTCTCTGTCTTTCCTCTGGAAGCCATTTTAATCACTGTAAGAACAGTAAGCCCACATGAGTACACTGCATTTGGTTACTTGGGAAGACTCAACATATTGGTGCAATTCAAAATTAAGACAATCTAAAATTCTAGGGGGTGGGGGATAGCGCACGCCTTTAATCCCAGCACTCAAGAGTCAGAGGCAGTCGAATCTCTGAGTTGAAACCAGCCTGGTCTATAGAGAAAGTTCCAGATCACCCAGGGAGAAAAATCCTGTCTTGAAAAACCAAAAAAGAAAAAAGTAAATTATGAAAATATGAAATGAAGAGAATATATTATTTCTAGGATTACAGGTATGTGCCAACATGCTCAGATCTTTCTTTTTTCTAGAACAGGGGCTTGAACCCAGGACCTCATTCCTAAGCAAGCACTCTACCATTAAGATAAATCCCCTGCACAGTAAGTTAGTACTGTTTAACAGAAAAAGCTATCTATGTCTTCTTGGGGGAAATGTAAAGAACCAGAATGCTACAAATGCACTATCATCAGGCCACACTCTCAAGCTGCAATACAGTCTCAAAAAGCAAAGTTATTCTGAATAAATTTAAGGAAATATAAAGGCTTGTAAAAGAAACCAAAAAACAAAACCAAAAAAACAAATAAATAAATAAGAAACAAATCTTTAACCACACAGATTTAGGCCAGAAAGATTTAACTCACTCGCACCACTTAGTATTGAATAAAAGTGATGCATTTTCTTTGAGACTGCCGAAATGGCAATACAGTCATCTGGAGTGGAAGGTATTCATTCACACTCACCGGGCTTCTAGTATCCTGTACTGTGCACAGCGCTGATGGGTCTCAAATTGTACAGATCGCCAACTGTCGGAGCTCTGAGTGTCATCAATTTGAGGAAAGCGGAGTTGTTATAAAGTTTACAGGAGGCTCAAACTTCAAACCTACTAGGGGTGGAGTTTGCTAGAAAAAGGTAAACTGTTACAGTTTTATTTGCTATGTATGAACTTGGCCTACAGCTATCCAGATAACTTCCCTTTAAGCAAACTGTAATTGAAATACACTCTCCATTCCTAGGAAGACGCAGAGGAGAGGCCACTGAATCGCTGGACTGTGCCTCCTGTAGCTTTTGCTGAGGTTTCCTCTGGGTGAGGCCACAGCACTCAGGACACGGCTTGAGGAAAACTGTCAAACTCAGAAGCACGAAAAGGCAAGGGCAGAAAGCACACCTTCTCCGGGACGGAAGTGAGCAGCGCTCAGCCCAGGACCACCGGAACAAAAATAAGGAACAGCCGCACGCTCGGATCCAGCCTCCTCCCCGCGGACGAACTCGAGGCTCCGGTCTGCAAGTCCCGCCGAGGCCCGGTTCCAGCAGGCCCGGTGGTCACCTGAGGTAGCGGGGAGTCCTCCGCCTGCGAAACGCTTCTCGGTCCTCCCTGATCAGAAATAGGCCAACCTCCTTCTGCCCTCTCGTCCCCGGCCTGCCGCCCGCTAGCAGATCCTAGTGTTTGGAACCAGGGGCCCCGCCTACTTGACGCCCTGGCCGGGCGGACCGCTTGGAGCGAGCACTTCCGCTGGATCGCGCACTTCCGGCTGCGTGGGACCAATGAGAACGCAGCCACGGTGTTCCCTGTGCTGGCGTCCGGGCCGAGGTTGTCTCCTGGAGGACTAGGGCCGTTTGGCCTTCAAGGCCTGGTAAGCAACCCACCCGAGGTCCTAGGAGACTCGCCTTTGGGAGTGTTAGCCTGGCGTCCCGTATTTTGCCAAGCAAGGAAGAATGCACAATGGCTGGACCTTAAGAGTCCTTTGTAACGGTCCCTGGGGCCAGGTCTTCATAGTCAACTCTTGCCCTTTGGTTCTTGGAACCAAAAAGCTGATAAAACTTCCAGTGACCTTGGTACAGACCAGTTCACCCTTTGGAGTGGCATGGGGTCTTCCTCTCTAGAGATATTTTTCAGAGCAGACGCCCATGAACTTAGAGGGATGTGGGTGAGAGGCAATGAGGGAAAGCCGGCATCAAGAAGGACTTTCCCTCTGAGTCATTTCCAAATCTGGAAAAGAGCAAGTTCACACAGCTTTTGAGAACTAGGAAAATAGCTTCTGAATGGATTGTAAAATGTTACCAGGGAACTGAGTGGAGATGGGGCTATGCCAGCCTTTTGGTAACCAGATCATGAGTCTCAAATGTCAGATATTGAACTACACTGTCGGATTCTGGGTTTGCTTAATTGTGATTATTCCTATTCTCTGGTTCTTCCCTCTTGGGATTAGAAAGTATGAAACTTATTTTGTATTTTACAGGAACTCATGATTAAAAGACTTGGACTTTTAAAGAGACTCATAACTTTAAAAGCCTTGAAATTTTGAAAGACTGAGGATTTTGAAAGTTGTTCTATGCTTTGTATTATAATGTTAACAGGAGACTTTAGAGACAAGAAATTGAAAGGTAATAGCTTACAGTGATGCCTTTGTTTGTGAAGTTGAAAGTGGGGGTAGAAGTTCATAGTTACCTGCTGTCATAACCTAGAGTCATCTGAAAGGAAAACGTTGATTGAAGAATTGTCCAGATTGGATTGGTCTGTGGGCATGTCTGTGGGAGACTGTCCTGTAAATTGTTAGAGGAGGGCTTGGCCCACCTGGTAACGTTATTCCCTGGCCAGTAGTCCTGGCCTGTATAAGAAAGCCAGCTTCCTGGGTGCTGGGTATTGGCACTAAAGAGGCAGATTCAGGATGATATCTGTGAGTTCAGGGCCAGCCTGGTCTACAGAGTGAGTTCAAACCAGGAGGCAACATTTCTCAGTGTGTCTGCTTCAAGTTTCTCCTAGAGCTCGTGTTCCAGTTTCCTCAGTGATGGACTGACCCGGAAGTATAAGGCAAAAGAACCTTTCCTCCCCAAGTTGCTTTTGGTCAGAGTGTTTTGTCCCAGCAGCAGAGGGAGGCTCAGACACTGGCTATGTGTTCTACAAAATAATTGGCTGTAATGACATGAAAGATTGTTGTAATCCATAAAGAGATTCTCTTTATCCAAAAATTCCCACCATGTAAAGAATGAATAAATGGATCTTGTTGAAGTCTAAGTTCTGCACCACTGTTTCCATGTGAGCTTCCCTTTGCTGAGATGAGCAATCTCTTTGGACAATATCCACTTCTGCAGCTGTCATCGGCTCAGATACTAACGTCCCTGGTTTATAGGAACGGAGCTTTATAGGAAGTCAATGCGACAGTCTTGAGGGTATTGTGTAGACGCTCACTCCTCCTTTGGATGGATGTTTTTAATGACGATGCTGTGGTATCAGTTATCCAGTCATTTCCTGCTTCTTCCGCGATCACTAAGCATCTTTCTCCTCTGGTGACTGGTCTTGGCATGAGTCCTGCGTGGCCGTGGTGTTCAGCTGACATTTCATGTAGAAATGGCAGCCAGGAGCTCGTCTTGTGAGATACTTGACAGTACGTGGAGGTGCTGCCTGGGGCGTCAGTCAGCCCAGGCATGTAAATGAGGCAGGAGACCAGCAGGATTCACAGGCTAGCTTCAGACTGTTGGCTTAGCATGTGGCCTTGGGCAGGTCACTTTGGACAGCCAGATGAGCCCCATGCCAGAGAAAAGCACTGCAGGACAGAGCACAGCGTCTAATAAGGTGGATCAGAACTCAAGCGAGAAGGATGCTTTTAAAAACTTATTTCTTCAAAAGTTCATACACAAGAGGACCATATATAAATGTTTGTTGATCATGTTCCCGGCAATACTGCCTTATCCTCCTGCCCTGCGTCAGAACCTTTCTTCCCAACACATCCCATCAGACTTCCATGACTTGTTTTGTTTGTTTTTTTTTGTGGTCCAGAGGCTTTAATTGATGTTGCCTGCATAAGTGTGTGTGTGTGTGTTGGGGGGGGGGTGAGCAAGAGCACCTTACTAGTACCTACAACCCATGAGAAATCAGACTCCCTCTCCAGCAACCGTTAACTGCCAATAGCAAACACCTTGGGGAGGGAGGGGCGAGGCCTTATGAACCCCTCCTCTACTCACGATGACGGGATGTTGAGAGGCCCAGTCCTCTGAAGATCTGATGCAGCTAACTATTGCTGCTGTGAAAGATCTAACTTTGAGACAGGGTCTCTCTATTACATAGTCCCTAGAACTCATTAGGTAGACCAGGCTAGCCTCCAACTCACAGAAAACCACTTGTCTCTATCTCTATCTCCTGAGTGTAGCATGTCATGTTTCTCAGGTGGGCCAGGAACAGAATGAGGTCCTGGTCCTCCTCCTGCTACCTCCTCTGGAGTGTCTGTGATTACCAGCCTGTGTGCCACCCCACCTGGGCATAGGCAGTGCTGATGGCTGAACCCAGGACCTCAGCTGTGCTGGGCTAGCTCTCTTCCCCGCTGAGCTGCATCCCAGGAAGCTTCTTTAGATCCCTTCCAACACCTCCCTTTCCTCTGTTTAACACTCCGTCTCTGAGTGTTCTGCAAGAAGAGGAGCTAGGGCTCCTTCCATAACCTGAGGCCATGCAGTGTCTTCCCTTGAGGGGTCTGCAAGCATCTGACCTGGATAGGGGCTTGGGAAGTGTGTTTACTCACCCGTGGATACCAGGCTGCCCACTGACAGCAGCACAGATAAGTAGTAAAGTTCAGGGGTGGTTTTCTCCTGTATGAGAAACAAAAACACTATCAGAAATGTCTTTGTCACTTAGCTAGTGGGGTCTGGCTTGAGTTTGGTTTGTGTTGTTTCAACCAGGGTCTCACTGTGCTGCTCTGACTGGAACTCACTATGTAGACCAGGTTGGATTCAAACTCACAGAGGCCCGCCTGCCTCTGCCTCCCAAGTGCTGGAATTAAAGGGGTATACTATGCTTAGCTTTATATGGGTTTTGATACAGTGTTTCTCTGTAGCCTAAGCTGACCCAGACCTGGCAGTCCTGCTGCCTCTGCTTCTCGAGTTCCACAGTCACAGGCACGTGTGCTACATACTCTGGTAGCATTTATTGTCTTTTACTATTTATTAGAATGTTTTAGGACCAGTGAGATGGCTCAGAGGACAAAGGAGCTTGCTACCAAACCTGATGACCTGCATCCAGTACTGGTAGAAGGAGGGCATCTACTCCATAGACTTGTCCTCTGACCTGCACATGCTTGCCGCAGCGTATGTCTTCCAAATACACATCACGCACACACAGAAAAGTGATACACCTTCAAAATTTTTTAAAAGATAAAATTCAGGCTGGAGAGATGGCTCCACTGACTGCTCTTCCAGAGGTCCTGAGTTCAATTCCCAGCAACCACATGGTGGCTCACAATCATCTGTAATAGGATCTGATGCCCTCTTCTGGTGTGTCTGAAGACAGCTACAGTGTGCTCACATACATAAAATAAATAAATATTTCTTTTTAAATATATATATATATATATATATATATATATATATACATACATGCATATATATGTATGTGTATATATATATTATAATATATATATTTTTTTAAATCTCAGGACAAGTGCTGTGGCCTATGCCTTTCAGCCCAACACTCTGGAGGCAGAGGCAGGAAGATCTCTGAGTTCTAAGCCAGCCAAGGCTACATAGAGAGACCCTGTCTCAAAAAAAGACAAGCAATGACAACAAGAAAACCACCGTCACTATCAACAACAAACAAAAATCTCATGGGCAGTTTTTTTTTTTTTTAGAAGCGGGCTGGTGTGGAACCCAGGGTCTACATCCGTGACAAGCTCATTCTCCACTGCAGTGAGCTGTTTGTATGCTTGTGTGTGCATAGTCATGTGTGTATGAGGGTGTACATGTATGCACGTGTGTTCTTATATGTAGAAGCAGGAGGAGAAGCGGGCATCATCCTCAGGAATGCAATCTGTCGCTTCCTTTGAGATGGGGATCTCAACCTGTTAGACTAGGCTGGCCCTTGAACCCTGGAATATGCCTGTCTCTCCCCAACATCCCCCCCCCCAACAGTGGAATTACAAGTGTGTTTGCCATACCCAGCTTTTCCGTGTGTGCTTTGAGGGTCAAATTCAGATCCTCTCACGTGAGGCAAACACTTTACCCTCAGAGCTCTCCCTCCAGCCCCTAGAAAGGTTTGACTTTTAGAACTGTGGTGCATCTGATGAGAAATTTTATGTTTTCAACATAAGCAGATAATAAATATTAAAAAGAAATAGTAGCCAGGTGGTGGCAGAAGCCTTTTAATCCCTGCACTGGGGAGGCAGAGGCAGGTGGAACTCTGAGTTCAAGGCCAGCCTGGTCTATAGAATAAATTTCAGGACAGCCAGGACTACACAAAGAAACCTTGTCTCAACCCCCCCACCCCACCCTCCCAAAAAAAGAAAAAAAAGAGAGAAGTAACAGTTCTGTGTTAGTAACCAAGCATTCAGAGTGAGATGCTAAGACAGGGACCGCTGAAACTGCTCACTGGGTAAAAATGTTTGCTGCTGAGCCTGATAACCTGAATATGATCCTCAGAGCCCACACAAAAGGTGAGAGAAGAGACCCAACACAGTTGTCCTCTGACCCCCATTCAGATATTGTGGCACACATGCAATGGCACACATAGACAAATTAATGTACAAAAAAAAAAAAGCATACGCAATCTGATGCCAGGAGTGTTAACAGCCCAGAGCAGACTCCTTCACCAAACGACACCACGCCAAATACCGCCAGTGTTGTCCTCAGAGCCAGCTGGGCTGGTTCCATC